TCTTCCGACGTGTTTCTGAGTAACTTACGCCTTCTTAAGGTATCTAATCTCAAGCTAGTTGTACTTGATTCTAAAGAGTTTATTTTGGATGAGGTAGAAAGGCCACTTTTTCTCCCAGAATATCCCATACACGCCTAATGGGAGAAAGTTATCAAGGTGAAGAAGCTTCCTGGATGACTTGTAATGGGTGATTTTTTTGCTAGTATCTTTTTGGCAACACTTTTTTTGACAGATGACGCGTGAATCGTGTCTTGTGTCATTGTCAAACTTGTTCAGTTGTTCAGTTTGGTCTATAATTTAACCATGAATCGACTTACGAACGAACAACGCTTGCAAATTATTGAATTTTACTATCAAAATTCATGCTCGGTAAAGAGAGTGCATCGAGCACTGCTGCGAATTTATGGGCAATTTGGTCGGCCTACTGAGGGAGCTATTCTGAAGCTTGTGATTAAATTTCGAATCCAGTTTACATTATTGGATATTAAACCACCAACGCGCAGACGTAGAGTGAGGCCTGAAGAAAATATTGCGGCTGTATCCGCCAGTGTTAGTGATGACCGTAAAATGTCGATTCGCCGCGGTTCGCAGCAACTGGGCCTCTGTTACTCCACTACCTGGAAAATTTTGCGACAGGATTTGGGTGTAAAACCTTATAAGATACAGTTGGAGGAAGATCCACATTTTTATCGAAAAATTGTGTTCAGCGACGAAGCTCATTTTTGGTTGAAAGGGTACGTTAACAAGCAAAATTGCCGCATCTGGAGTGAGCACCAGCCAGAAGCATTGCATCCCTAAAAAATCACTGTTTGGTGTGGATTATGAGCCGGTGGCATAATCGGGCCGTACTTCTTCAAAGACGACAATGGCCGGAACGTAACTGTGAATGGCGAGCGCTACCGTGCGAGATAACAAACTGTTTTTGCCCAAAATGGAAGAGCTGGACTTGGCTGACATGTGGTTTCAACAAGACGGTGCCACATGCCGCACCGCTCACGAAACAATGGCCCTATTGAGAGGCGAGTTCGATGAACAGTTTATCTCACATTTGGGGCCCGTCAATTGGCCGCCTAGATCGTGTGATTTAACGCCGTTGGACTATTTCTTGTGGGGCCATATTAAGGCTAATGTCTACAGGGACAAACCAGCAACGATTGACGCACTGGAAGCCAATATTGGAGCATTTATTCGTGAGATACCGGCCGATATGCTGGAGAGAGTGTGCCAAAATTGGACCTTGCGCATGGGCCATCTAAAGCGGAGCCACGGCCAACATTTACATTAAATAATCTTTAAACATTAAATTATATCGACCGTTCTATCGACTCAAATAAAGATTTCAAATTTTTTGTGTTTTTTTTTTGAAAATCAAATCCTATACCTCTTTAAAAATCATCCGTAACTTTACTGAGGTAGTCTGTTGTAGCTTTAGTAACTTATTGGAAAATAGAGTGTTCAGGAGAAATGGCAAAATATGAAGTTTCACACCTCTAGTGAAAACTAGAGACTAGCACCATATTTAATGACGCCCCAAACCATAGCTCCTCCAGCATTATGTCTTTCTTAGCGTCGCCTTCTGAATAGTGCCCATCCATGATGCTTTCCTCATACGAAATTATCACTAGAAACAATGTTATACGTTCCATCATCTCAATTTTCTGGGTCCCAGTTCTATTTAGGAATGCATGACGGCATCGCGTATGTAACGTAACGCGACTTCAGTGCATGATACTGTATGAGTTCATAAGAAGAGGCATGACGCCGCAACGGTATATCTTGGGAATAGTAGTACCCCATCTCTGGCCATCTCTTCAATGGCTTGAGAACCCTATCTTCCTGTCCGTCATCACATTGCTAGTGCTACAATGGACTACCTAACCACCGTTCACGTCAGCCTCCTTTCTTGAACTCTTATATTCCGATATCCTGACCGAGCATGAGATACGATGCAAAGAATGACCTCTTATCCTCGCCCTTTCCAAACGCTAGCAGATCTTCGGAAAAAGTAAAGCTTGGGATAAAATACTTCAACAAGATATAAATCGCCTCGTCAAACGAATGCCACGATGACTAAACGAATCTATACTTTATTAGGCAGGCCCAAAATATTATAAGCGGAACCTAGCGACACCTCAAATGTTGTCACTTTAAAGTTTGATCACGACTCCCTCTTGCTCACGTTTAGAGGTCTACTTTCTTTATCATTAAGTGTATCTAAATGTGGATATTTTGAGAAGGGTTTTCATGCAACATGCCTTCGAAAAGAATAGAATATTATCGTATTAATCAACCAACACCCCCAAATCTCCAATTTTCATGATGACAAATCCTTGAGCTATAGAGAAAAAATTATTTTGATAACTAAATTTTCGCACTCCCAATATCACTGACTAGCGACATTTTACGGGAACTTTGGCTCCATTCTTACGAGTTCAATCTAGGATTATGTTCTGGCTCATTCATTGTGGACCACCCTATTTTCTGTATTCGGTAATTTGAGTGGTTATTTATTCATATGGCCTGGACGGGTTGGCGCTTTAGCATTTGGATGTAATTATGAACTTCAACTTTATACTTTAATTTTGTGGGGTTTCTCAGAATCTGGGGTCGGAGTTAGTAGGAATTAGGTACGCTATTTTTAACGCATTAATATTAGAGCACATGGAGAGGTGAAGGTAATTGCGAACTCCTCATCGGCATATCTTTCATAGCTAACGAGAATTAACAAATTGTAAGAATAGTTAACTTCTTTCGGAAGTATTTCATGTCTCGACGAAGTTATTGGACAAAATCGAATGTAGCATTCTGTGTAAATATACCTGGCTTGGTCTGCGAGACTATCCTAAAAGGCTCTTTAAAAAGGCCTCATTTTTTGGACAGGTCAAGTTAGCACGCTGAAATTCGGGGCAATAAGATTGATACAAGGATACTATGTTCTAACGTAAAAATGACATCTGTAAAATTCAAGATCGCGACTGGGTGCCATTTTGGAACATCTTTCATAACAATGTGTTTGGTCATGACATACCGATATTTGAGGGCGATATTTTTCAGCTATTTTTATCAACAAATCCACCCCCTACAACGTCCTACCTCACACCTGTTGAAATGGATCCATACCGCTGCGAATGAAATTAGAGCTGACACGGATATGGTCTGCTGCTCAACACAACACATTGTTTTAAGAACAACAATGTGCATAACCAATAATGGAGGCCATTTTGAACAGCTTCTGTAACATTAAACATGTCCATGTCCATGTATAGCAAGTTTGAAAACAATTTGCATTTTGTTACACCCATTTTGAACCATTTTTTTGGATAGCATTTATTGCTTAACGTATAATACTTAGGATAACAAAAAGCTGTAGAATTGGCAGAAAAAAAGTACAACTTCACATACTAGTTTTTGAATGGTTTGCGGAAATGCACAAAATAATGAATTTTCTTCCATATTTTTTTCTGTTTTGTCTGTTTTTAAGTATGTTTAACGGTTAGTATCAAAAAAAGTTTTTCAATAATCGCTAGGACAACATGTCATCGTTCAAATGACACCAAATTTATCATTCTGTGACACTTACGTACTCAGTTATTACAATTTTGATACAGGCACTACCGTAATCGTAATGTAAAAACAAAAATGGCTGCCATTTCAAGAGGAATGCGGTTGGACATTGTAGGGAGGTAGATTTGTCGATAAAAATAGCTGAAAAATACCCCTCTTAACTATCGGTATGTCGTGACCAAACACATTGTATAATGAGAATCGCGTGCAAGGTTATAATAATAATATAATGTCACCTTCGTTAAAAGTAGCGAAGTGGGATGCAGTCAAAGTTGAACGATTTTGTACATTGAGCTGCTTATAGTTCAACAACCAATCATCAGAACGTTGTACCGTTATATATCCATCTTCTTTTCTTGGAAGTGTATTTTTTTACACCGAAGCAGCTGCGCAGGCAAATGCCCAAACGCCATGGTTTCACGGATTCGATGACCTTAAAAGAAACTTTGTTAATCCGATTAGTGAACTCTTTAATGTTAGGAGATAGTTAGTAGACAGAACTGGGAACAGCCTCCTCATGCAGATCGTTTCACAATCTTGATGCCCTAGGAAGAAAGGAGCGGTCGTATTGGGTAGTTCTGGAAGTACAAAGTTCGATACGGTTAGGATGGGACGCCAAATTCAGGCGGGCGGAGAGCTACATCGCCGACAGCCCGCCGATTCGAAATGGTCCCTAGTTATTTAAATATGTAATAAAAAGTGGAACATTCTATTTAAAGAGGGTCATAATCTGTCAATTTCTATATCTGAATGCCCAATATTAAAGAAGAATATAGTAATAATAGTAATAATAATAACAACATGGGTGCAACACCTGTGCTGCCATATGCTCCAGGGGATATTGATCCCCTTGTGGAGGAATAATAACAATAATAAGAACAATAATAGTAATATAACATTTAACGTTTTGATGCCTACTTGTTGAAATATCGAACATATAAAAACGATCAACTTCGATAGCCTAGCAATCTGCCATTTCAAAAGATAGTGATTTTTTATTCTAGGATAAGTACTCATAAAGAGCTTCCTAATGAGGTATCACACAACCCCCCCTTTCATTTGAGAGAATGTACCAAAATGGCGCCCATCAACAATCTTCAACCTTCAAACTGCAACTTTTACGCTAAAATACAGTATCCACGTATCAATATAATAATAGATCTTTGCTACTTATGAAACATCAGACAAATACATTTGAAAAAATGTGTGCGTCATCAACTGAATGTTGGTAAAACATAAAACCGTTCTTACATATGAAGTGTTTGAACAAATAATGCTTTGATCTTCCTAAAGGACATGGGGCTTCAAGAGCTTTATTCATTCAAAAGGTTCTACAGAACAGTTCATACATGAATTGTCTGCAATAAATCAGCTAAAACTGAGAATGTATAACTGGAGGGACTTCAAAAATTAGGCACATATGTTGAGTAACCTACCTATGACGTTGACTTCCCCACTTCTTCTTGCACTATGTCCTTGTTTGTTTCTTGCCCAGCATGTGTATACGCCCGAATCTGCTTTCTTTTCCACCGGATGTATAATCAATGTACCATCAGCTTGAACCTTGAAGGAAGTAACAATATCACCCAAAATGTTAATCTCGACCATAGAAAACTTCTTATAGAGATACTGGATCCATGGTTTAATTTTGTAAATAACTCTTTTTAAGTTGGTATAAGCACAAATGTTGAAACTAAATCGTTATGCATATGACTTACTTTTTGTCGGAGATCTACTGGTAATTCACTGCCACCCCTCTCCCAATGGATCTCTTCTATAGGATAACCCGCTACGGGACACTTCAGTCTAAGTGTCTCTCCTGCTACAGCTGTCACTTTCGGTATTAGCCTGATATAAGGCATACCTGCAACGAAAGAAAGAGCTTTGAAGTTTCATTTGTTTTCAGACAAATGTCAAGTTGGAATATAATTGACATTGTTTATTTAACATTCACGATTATCCATTTTTTAATTTAAAGTGCCCTAATAATAGAACGCTTTCTTGATTTCAAACCTCAACCCCTCCAACCTTCAATTTTCGACCTACCTTACCAATTTTTCTCCCGAAAGGGATCAGGGAGCTATTTAGTCTAGGTTCGAACGTTTTGAAAATCTTATCCAGATCAGGACTGTGGGGTCAACTTTCTGTTGTACCTATTGATGCATTATATGATTAAAAATTGTTTTTGTTTGTTTCAGATTTATTTAGCATTAATGCTACAATGTCCATAATATCCATATTACACAATATATCACAAAATATATTATGTCTTCAAGACTACATATTTTTATACAAAATTTCACTACTATGAGTTCTGGTTTTCCATGAGATATTTTTTCAACTTCCCTTTGAACATTTTCAAACTGACACACATTTTGATATCATTACTTAATTCATTAAATTCGTACAATCCCTTTTGAAATACTGACTTTCTCGTTATATTGCTACTGCAGTTTTGTAAATGAAAGTCTATACTTCCTCTAGTAGAATAATTGTGGCACTCATTGTTCAATACAATAAAATTTTCCAAGTGATTTGGTAGAAGATGATTTTTCAACTTGAATAGGAAAATGAAAACCAAGTAGGCTACGAAATTTTTGATATTTAAGCATTGTAGTTCTTTCAGCATAAAATTTATTCTAGTATATTTGTTTTTATTTAAGATGATTCTCATAGCCTTATTTTGTAATATTTGTAATTTTGAAAATACTGTTTCATTTTCAGTAAACAAAATAGTCGAACAATATAACAAATGAGGAAGAATGATAGTGTTGTACACAATTTTTTTAGAATATACGCTTAGGCTATGCGAAATTCTATAAAAGTAATTCATTTTCTTGGATATTTTTGAAATAATATATTCATAGTGCCCTTCAAATTTTAATTCACTGTCTACGTATATGCTCACATATTTAAATGATTCGATTGACATATTTTTTTCATGAATAATTATAATATTTATCGTATTTTGATCTAAAGATTTTCCTATTAGCATATATTTTGTTTTGTTTGTGTTTAGTTTAAGTTTATTTACATTTAACCGATTTATTACGTTTTTCGTATCATTATTTAACAGCTCTATTGCAGTTTCAATGTCTTTATTTGATACATATGTATATATATATACAGGGTTATCCAAATTAAGTGTCCACCATTAGTAACTTTGTTATTTTTAACGCTGGTAAAAATGAGAAATAAAAAAAAACAATTGAGAGTCGTTATTTTGATTTTTTTCAGTAAAATAACATTTTTTTAAATGGAATCCCCTGTATATTATATTTTTTTCTGTTAAAGCATCAAATTTTAAACAAAAAAGCTTACAATAACTTTTCTCTTAGGTTACAAATTGTTGAAGTTATGGCCTCCAATCTGAAAGAATTAAATTGTATCGACAAACTTTATTTTCAACATCAACTTATAATCTTACAAAATACAATAACAATTTTTTTTAAAGAAGATGCTCGAAAACACCACCTTGTTCTTCAATACATTTTTGGGCACGTTTTTCAACTGCTCGAACTGTCTTAAGTATGGTCCTACCATCTATCTGGGTTATCTTTTCCCTAACTGCAGTCTTTAACGCGTCAAGGTTATCGTACCTTCGCTTGTAAATTTGGTTCTTTAAGTAACCCCACAAGAAGTAATCAAGTGGGTTTAGATCTGGTGATCTGGGAGGCCACTGTATTGGGCCATTTGTTCCTATCCACTGATCATTAAAAGTAGTACTTAGAAAATGATAAGTACCTCTGGAGTTGTGGGCAGGTGCGCCATCTTGCTGAAAATGCAGATGATGTCTACTTATAAGATCCAATTCGTCTAAGAAATTAGTCAGAATTTCTGACATAAATTCCACATATCTTTCACCAGTTAGGGTTCCCTCATAAAAGAACGGGCCAACAATTTTTGAACCAATTATACCGCACCAAACGTTGAAAATGAAACGGACTTGTGGGCCTCTTGGATGTACTAACAAAAGATTTTCTCTTGACCAATAATGGTGGTTTTTTCTATTAAACATTCCAGAATTTGAAAAATTTGATTCATCTGTCCATAAAAGGTAACCAAAGTTATTTACATTTTGGCGACAGAAGCTAAGATACCAATGGCAAAAAACAAGTCTTCTCTCTGGATCCCCTGCCAAAAGCGTTTGAACTGGTCGGTACTTATACGGAATAAATTTGTATTTTTTTAAAATCCTTTGAACAGTACCATAACTGAAATTAGAGTCCTTGAGAATATCTGTTATTGAAGTCTCACGATAAGCTTCAAAATATCCAATAACTGCAATTTCCGTGGCCTCGCTTATGAATTCTTTTTTTGCCCTTGTTTTAGCAAAAACATTTTCGTTGCCCCTAAATTTTCGATAAAGTCTCAGAAAATATCGTTCATACGGTTGAATGCGAGCAGGATATAATTCACTGTAGTATTCTCTTGCTCTCAAGGAGGATTTTCTGCACACTAAATAGCATTCTAACATATCACACTTTTCTTCATGGGAGAAAATTTTTCTTTAAATTAATGACACAATAAAGCTTATAAACAAGTATTTCCACTAATGTTTGACATTATTTGATTTTATCATTGTTTTCCAAAGCCTTCTAGCTGCGAGTATGTCCAGTTTAACAATTTGTCGCTTATCTTAATGCTGTCAAATCGCGAACGCCATGTTGTTTTCATAGCCGTCTTAATATTATAATACTGCAAATAATTAAAAATATTTATCGTTATTTTGACTTTATTTTTGACTTTAGCGGAAAGGTCATTATGAACTTTTTTGTTTAAAATTTGATGCTTTAACAGAAAAAAATATAATATACAGGGGTTTCCATTTAAAAAAATGTTATTTTACTGAAAAAAATCAAAATAACGACTCTCAATTGTTTTTTTTTATTTCTCATTTTTACCAGCGTTAAAAATGCTACTAGTTTGCTAATTTAAACAACTTTGTATTTTTACTAATAACAAAGTTACCAATGGTGGACACTTAATTTGGATAACCCTGTATATATATATATATATATATATATTATTAATGTATCATCAGCAAATAGTTGAATTTTGCAGTGTTGTAAAATATCAGGAATATGGTTAATATATAAAATAAATAGTAATGGACCTAATTTGCTACCCTGTGGCACACCTACCGAAATGTGTTTAATGTTTGATAATGTATTGCCAATTTTAGTTCTTTGACTTCCATTGATTAAATGATTTTCTGATAAGTTGAATACTGAACCTTGAAACCCATAGCAATGCAATTTTGTTAACAATTTCTCCCTGTCCATAGTCTCAAATGCTCTCTTGAAATCTAAGAACAATGTTACTGTAAACTTTTTTCATCCATATTTCGCCTCCATTCTTCTACTACCATTTGAATTGCTGTTTCAGTAGAAAACTTTTTTCTGAATCCTGCTTGAAATTTTGTCAACATCTTTTCTTCAATATATTTAATGACCTGTTGATATATGATTCCTTCTAAGAGCTTCTCGACATCTGGCAGTACATTAATTGGCTGCATTTTTGTATATAACTTAGAATTTTGCACTTTTGGAATAGGAGTAATTGTAGCACATTTTAATTTTGAAGGAAATTCGTCATACACTAACCAGTGGTTCACTAACAATAATAACTTCACTCCAATACTGTTCCTTCATAACCATTTTTGAAAGATGTTCACTTGGATATCTATTCGATTTCAATCTTGTAATAGCTTTTGAAAGATACCTGATATTTATTGTAATATAATGTGGATAGCTCAGTTGAACCTGAAATATCCTGGTATCGTGTATTCCTATAATACGTTCTTCTAGCAGATCCAGTTCGGGATCAAAAGAAGCATTATTAGTCTCGAAATTAAATAATCACCAAGGATGCTTATTTTTTATCTGCAATCTGCTTTATATCTCTCCCTTTGTACTACTTCAAGAAGGTCATAAGCTGCGTGATGTGCTAATGATAACGACTTACTAATCTTCTGAATGAACTTTGCATAGCTCTCAAGTTTCAAACAATTTTGCATTTTCAAGTTTTCTGTCCTGGGGGCATCAAAAAGTGAAAGTTTTACAAACTGTACCTTAGAGTTCCAAAGTTTTCACCTGTTGCTCCCTAAGGACATTTTTCTGTGTTCTCCCAGAAATTTAATAAGATACTGTAGAAGCAGCATTTATATAAAGTGTGGCGACTTTTTTTCAGGGAAAGTCCAATATTTCTATTGCTATGACAAAGACGAATTATGAGCTGTTCATAACGATATTTGTTCTCCGTTTCCCACCTGATTAAACCTAATTATTTAATTACTTGCGGACAGTTGAATTCGATCCCATCAACTTGTATGAATGTGTCTTCATTATTCCATTTTCTGTAGACTCCTCATTCTAGATAGATTACATGAAATATTCAGTGATGAATGCAGTCTTGTAAGGCGATACTAAAAATAAAGATATACAAAAATCCCTTTCTATACAACCAACCATTTGTCAAGACATCGCGCGATGCTTTTTAAAAATAAAGTATCGCGAGACGAAGGCGAGGTACTTTATCATTGTCATTGTTCTTTTATAGATTAGATAGCGGCATCATAAAATAAAAACGTAATTGTAGCAGCTGATAAGAAATAAGACATTGGATTTGATGCGTTGTATCATTACGTTTGACGTGCCAAAAGAGCTGCTGAAAAAAGATATTTCGTTGTCTGCTCGATATCAGCAATCGAGAGAAGACAGGTAACGTGGTGTCTCAGTAGCGTTTATGTATTATAGCGTTTAGATCCTACAAATGTCAGAGAAATGGTGGAATCATATACAAAATGATTCTACGTGAAAGCACATACTGTAGATTTTGTATAAAAGGTCAAAGTGAGCCAAT